AGAGGCCTGGGAAAAAAGGGAGCGTTAGGTACAGACTAAGAGAGTAGGGGAAATTTATAACTGCCTGATGAATAGAAGAGCTATTTTAAATCCCCAGGTCTGGCCATATTCCCTTAAGGATGCTCCTACATTCAGCAGGTGAGGTATGGGAGGTACAGCAGACTGCAGACCACCCGGCTTGATACTTTAGTTGAATGAGAACCAATATCATTACAGTTGGATATTAGTACCTTCTTCCATTATGATAGTAGACATTTTGTTAAAATAAGACTTTGCTTAATAATGCACTTTTGTTCTGCAATTTAATTCTGTAGAAAAGGCAACATGAAATTCTTTTAATCTAGGCATACTGATAAACATAACAAATTAACCAGGCACACACGTGGTGCACTTACATATATGCAAGCAAAACACTCATACACATAAAATGAAAATAAATAAAATCAAACAAACAAAACCAAATGAGCTGATCTCCACCTTGAATTTTCTCCCCATAGCTTCTCTGGAGTGGAAGTGAGTTACAGGTCAAGGGCCCCCTCACAACTGCTTTCTGTAGTGCATGTAGTTCCTTACCTCCCCCTGGAAACCATGTCACCTTTAAATTCCTCTGTGGAAAAGGTGCTGAGGTGCCGTGGACTGAATATGTTTCGGTTAGTCAGTCTGAAGTGACCCACTATGAGAAAGGGCAGGATGAAACACAGGGCAGAGTCCATCTGGTTCAGTCCGCTTCAGTGATGTGCAAAGGACTTAAAATAGCACAACTTCCCTGTTCTGATGAACAACCGAGCCCTACGTTTTGTCTCCCTTGTGGTTCCCCACCATGTGAACCATCCACTGAACCTGAACATGTCCCCAGCCACATGAACATAAACTTCAGACATCTCAAAGACTGTTAGTATTTTCAAATCATTTTAAATGTCTTAGGATTATGTAAGTTGAACTGGTTTAGAAGCCCTCAACAACAGCTCTGGGTAGGAAGCTGGTATATATTTGTGAAGAAATACAGCCCATGTTGTGTTTCATTTCTCCCGTGAATCGAAGTTGCGTGCAGAGGAGCAAAGCCCACTGGAGACATTTAGGAGCACAGGTGAAGTGAAAGAGGGCTGACTTCCTGTGGTGCATACCTCTCCCCTTGCCTTCTATTTTTTAATTTAAACAAGGCATTCCAGGTGCATGGATACTTCCTTCCATCTGTGTTCACCAAACCTAAATGAACTACATGTCCAGATTTCCTAGGGGAAACATGTGATTCAAATATAGAATATGTTACTTCACTCTAGTAAGTCTATATCGAGCACTTTCCCCATGGAAGACCCTATGCAGAACTGCAGACAGAAAAAGTCTTCATCTTCATGGCCCTACAGGAAATTATAACAAGGGAGGAAGACAAGATGCCAATGTTTATAAAAGGCAGAAAGTAATAAAGGCCAAATGAGAGAGGTGACATTCACAGATTACTTAGGAGGTTCACAAAGGATGGATGATAG